GAAGCATATAGATTTGGTACATCAAAAGTCAAGAAAACATGTGCATCATTTAAAAAATAAAGTGAAAATTTGCACCATGCGCCATGGCTTGTGCCACATATGCCATGACATATGGCATAGAGGCCACAACTGCCTATTCTATGCCATGCACTTTAGTGCGCTACAGCATACGAGTGTAAGCGTCGTAGCGCACACACCTAAATTTGCTTTCAAATAACAGTTTCTGATATGAAATTCATATGCGTGCCATTTTCACATACAAAGTCCGATTGGGATGGTTCAAGTGCCCATACGAAGCTCATTTCAAAATCTAACTAATGACACTATTTTTATCCCAATTTGATATTTTTATAAAAAATTAGACACTAAAGTGCACTTTGACTATTTTCTATCAAATTTTGCCACTTAAGTGTCTCAATTCGAAACCAATTGTCATTAACCATTTTTTAGGCTTTGACTAAGTCCAAGTAGACAAAATACATCTATTTGACCATACACATACACAATATAACACACATACACAAATTTGGCCTATAATCTGCCCATTTCACACTTTGGGCCAAAACTACATTTTCACTTTTCTAGTGTCATATATGGTCAAATCCCTCTGTTTAATCTCCACTCATTTCATGTACACACATAATTACATCCATCTACTAGCCCTTTCAATCATTTCATCATTTGCACACATACAAGGCTAGGGAGTTCAAAATCACAAAGGCATACCATAATCATAACTTATGCACATATACAAACCCTATAGCAACTTTTACATACTTTTGGCTCATAATTCACAAATCATTACACTATATCTTATAATGATTTAGGAAAAAGATGTCAGCTCAACCTATATCCTTTCCCTTTGACCCACTAGTATCAGAACCTGAAAAATGTAAATAACCACGGGTGAGATAGAAATCTCAGTAACCAAATATAGCTCATTAAATGTTTATTATCATAAATAACCATGCCAAGTAACTATAAACATTATATTGCACACACACACACAAACATAGATATATATATATATCACATATCGATACTAAATTATCTTTTTGGCATATAAAATCACATTTCAAACACTTTGACACCACAACATGATCAACTATCCACTAACCCTCCAAAGCTCCCCGACATGAAACCATAGGCTCTTCTGGATTAACCACTTATTGACTTGAGCTCACTTTTAATGGTAGAAACACCCAGCTAAAGGTAATCTAACCTACTTATAGACTATGGCTTTCCTTTTCACATACTTGTGATAGAGGTGTCATTGACTCATAACCGCACCCTAACAGGCACTAGGGAGTTTTTAGATTGCCTAAATGTACCATGGTAATAGTCTTATAAGATGCTGTACCGGATTACTTATAGTAACAGCCCATAAAATGTTGCACTGGATGTCCCATGGTGCCAGCCTGATCATATGGATTTTTCACTCACAAATCTACACACACACACACACATAGCCCCACATATCCTAGGTGAACTCTCACCCTCTATGATCATGCTCTTTCATAACTTTCACTAGTTATACACCTTTTCATAACATATATATATATATATATACTTATTGAAACAATAACTTTTTAAATTCATTTCACAATGCAGAGTTCATACTAAAACTCATAAATTCACAACTTAACATTTAACATTCCTTTTTACACAGTTGTAATAGTTAATAAACATAATAAACTATATGATTACCTCAACCCTTTTGTTCGTGAGAAAGGGTTACCCGTGTAACTTCAACCCTATTCAAGCTCCTCTTTCATAATTCGTGCATCACACACTAGAATCTACATAGAATTGGCATTCAAAGTCAATTCCTCTATTGACTAAAAATGCCAATTATCACAATTAAACGCTTAATTGCTATCAAATCCATATTTCACACTCGATTATGCACATTACCATTAATCACCCCTCATTTCAAGCTTTAACATTTCTAACAATTTTTGTCTCACTACTCTCTCTAGATTAGGGCAATTTATGCTTGAAGCTTCAAAACTTTATCATTTTGACTTAAACTAGTTACAAAACATTAGTTTAACTACAGAGAACTTTTTTATTACTATCAGGTAAGAAATCAACTCCTTGAAACACTCAAATTCACTTTCTTATTGATTAAAACTAAGAGAAAATAGGGTAAATTCAGAGGTTAAGGTAGTATGTGACTTGCCCAATAAGTAACGAGTTGGAAACACCATCCTTGCTCCTAATTTAGCTTGCCTTAACATAGCCTTGGCTCTTCTCCACTCCAGACCTCTCCTCCCATGTTTCTCCCTTCTATTTTTCAAGTTAGACACATCCCTATTAAATTGATTTCTGCTCCATGCACCGTAGTGCATCTGCCACCCGTTGCGGCACATGGCACAGTGAGGAAAATCCTCACTATGTTGCACTCTCTACTTCAGGACCCCACTCTTCTTCTCATATCTGTTCATATAACATCCCAATGAGTCAATATATCACTTCACCATTCAAAACTCTAATCCCTACATTAAATCACTAACTTATCCCTAATCAATCATCAATACAGGATTAGAAATTCAGGATGTTATAGGTAACCCTTTCTTGTGACAAAAGGGTTAAGGTAACTAAATAACTTTCTCTATTTGATTATCTATTCTAGCTGTCTATGAGTATTATAGCTAAGATATAAACTTGTTTATAAATTGTTCATGTTTTTGAGAAAACAAATATTTATGTATGAAAAGGATTTCAGAGAAATGGATTTCAATAAATGGATTTATAGGAAAATGTAACTGTATGACACTATATGTATACATGGATTTGAATGCAAACCATTTATTTGTATGTGAGTATGATCATAAGGAGTGAGAATTCACCTGTACGGAGAAGTGATGAGAAGTCCATATCATATTATTCTCCTTAGTGCTTGATTGGGTATGGTGTTAGAGATTATCTCCTTAATGCCCATATGGGGTGTGGTATTAGAGATTAGAGCTCCTTAGCATCTATGTAATACAATGTTGGAGTAATGGTGCCCTAATCAGTATGTGATAGGGGAAAACTGTAGTCCAGAAGTGGGACAAAACACCTTTGGCCAAGTGATTCTATCACTAAAGTTATGCTCAGGTTAATGAGTGTGTATTGGCCTAATAAGAGCCTATGGATTCGATCGGGGTAATATGTGTGACATCCTAAATTTCTTAATCCTAAGTTTAGAAGTAAGTCAAGGGTAAAGTGAAAATTAAAGTAGGATTAGAGATTCAGATGATTAATTGGCATTTTAATTTGTTGGTGTGTTGTCTGAATAGATATGGGTGATAGGAGTGTGTTTCGAGTCGAAGCAAGTGTATGTGTTGAGAATGAATCTCATTATGCCATGTGCCACAGCTTGTGCTGCGTGTATCGCGGCTCATGGACTAAAAATTCACTTCATAAGTCGTGAATTTTAGAAAATTTTAGGAGAAAGAAATTGAGAAATACACAAAACAAAGAGAGGAGAAGGGTTGACGAGCTAGGTCAAGTCATTTTAGAGCAGAGGAAGGTGATTTGGATCGGTAACTTGCCAAGTAAGCTACATATAACTCTTACTTTCCATTCTACACAAATTTTTCTGAAAATGAGTTGTAGAAAAATTGAATCAATGGAATTTGAGGGGTTTGAATCTTACTCAATAGTAATAAAAAGGTTCTTGGAAGTTAAATTAGAGCTTTGTGATTGGTTTAGAGTTGAACGGTAGAGTATTGAACCGAATAACCTTTCTTGAGTGATAGTTAAAATCCATGGGTAACCTTTCTTCTAACAGAAGAGTTGATAAAACCGAATAACTTTCTTTATTTGACTGTTTATTATAACTGTATGTTAGTATGCTATGTAATGCATAAGTTAGTTTTGAATTTAGCATGTTTTGTGGTATTGAGTAATTTTTTACATTCGAATGTTCAAATTTTGATCAGATCATTAGATCATGTCTAAACCTATCTCATTAGTTAGTATACGAGCTAAGCTTCGTGTGGGTGCTTGAATCACCTCGATCGGATGTCGTATGAGAAATTGGCACACACTAAAAGTTTATCATTTTTGCTATCAAAATGACATCAGAAATCTAGACAGGCATGCCATAGAGCATTGAGGCACATGCAGTGGTGTACGACACAGGTAGAGAGAGCATGTGGCTCTGTGCCACATGCCATGGCACACTGACTGTCCCCTGTGGCTCACGGATTATAATTTAGTTTTATTTTGTATGCTAAAATGCATGCATTTATGAAAGGAATACTGGTGGTTTAAGTCTACTATGTATTTGGAAAGTCTATGACTTCTTTCTGCTGTGTTTTATCTGATTGAATTAAGATTTAATTGATTTTTAAAAAATAAGTCTTTAGCAGAAGCTTTTAAAATGAATTTAATTATTATGAATGATGTGAGTTAATGGTAACATCATAGTCTTCTCTTATATTAAGTGGGTATATGAGACAAGGTTGCATTTTGGTATCAGTTTCTTGGTTTTCAAGACCAGATTGTTCTTGATGCATATATTTAGAAATATGGCAACTTATCTTGTTCATTACACAATTTTTTCCTGATACCCTTTGTGTTTTGTATTTTCATCCTTAGGAGGGAAAAAATAGTATAATATGAGAGGTGCTCGTGCAAGAACCACAGTATCTAGATAGGTTGTAGAGGAGAAACAAGAGCCAAAAGTTCAACCGGTTTAGTCATAAAGGGATAGATGTGATGAGCTACTGGAAGAGCTTAGGGATATGGTTGTCAATATAAGATAAACTGTTAGGGATCATGACACGATCCTAAGGGGTAGAGAGCAAGAAGAGAGAGTTGAAGCTCAAAATATCCTAGTGTAAGAAGCGTATAGTAGACCTGGATTGTATTAGAATTCAAGTAGCAAACTAGAGATTCCTGCCACTGATCCATCTATTGATCATGCTTGTAAGATGTTTGTTTGGTTCGATCTACTGACATTTGTTGAAAGAATGAGGGAAGGTGAAGCAGAATGGTGGATAGAATGAATGGAAACCATCTTTAAGGTGGTGATCTATACTTTAGAGCAGAAAGTTATCTTGGCCACGGTACAGTTGGTTAGTGCTGTTAAGAGATGGTGGGAATCTATGAGACCAACTGGTGGTATTTGTTTGAACTGGGATGAATTCAAGAGAATATTCTTTGACCAACACTTTCCAGTCTCATTCAAAACTGAGAAGAAAGAGGAATTTCATGCTTTCAGGCAGGGAGACTTGGACGAGGAAGAGTTTATAAGAAGATTTAATGATTTATCGACTTATTCCACATATCTCCAGTATGGTAATGACTCGAAGTGGAAAGTTGAGAGGTTGCTTGAAAAGATGAGACCCAAGTACAAGCAATAGATATCATTGCTTGATGTGATGATGCATGAGGAAATGTGCCACAAGCTGAAGGTAGCAGCTAAGCATGGTAGAGAGGCAGATACTGAAAGGGGACGAGATAGTATGGGAAGATTTTCATCTCCTGTGGGTCCGACTGGCGGAATCTCAGAGGACTAAGTTTAGTACAAGTAGTTCCAGTTCTTCTGGAAGAAGGGGTTTCAGTCAAGGATCACAGTCTCGACCTGTGCATAGAGGATCAATGCAAAAGGGTGGAGGTGTGAGAATTAGGCCTCCACATTCTTCGAGGTAGGCGTCGAATGTTCCAACTCCAACTTTGAATAATGAAAGCATGCCCCAATGCAATATATGTAGCAAATCTCATTTAGGAAGATGTTGGGCTTGTTACAAGTGTGGTAAATCAGGTCATATAGCGAGGCAATGCCCAGAGGGTAGAGTTGAGGGGACTGAGTAGAGATCAATGGTTCTTGGCTGAGTATTCGCGATTATATAAGAAGAGGCCAGAGCATCTCTGAATCTAATTAGAGGTATGATTTCTATAAATGGTCATAAAGTAGAAGCATTGTTTGATTCTAGTGCCACCCATTCTTTTGTGTCTAAGGAATGTGTGGATAGATTGGAATTATCTTTACAAGAATTGTTTATGCTCATTAAAGTGACGATACCTTCTGGATTGTCTAGTATTACAGGTCAAGTTTGTCAGAATGTAGAGATTCGATTTGAGGATAAAGTTTCTAAGATCAATTTGATTTGTATTTCTTTGAGAGGAATAGGCGTGATAATTGTCATGGATTGGCTAGTAACAAATAATGCTACAGTTAATTGTGCTAAAAGAGTAGTTTCCTCACCAGTGTTGTACACAATTGTGGAATCTTCAAAGCAACCTAAGTTTTTATCGATAGTGAGTGCAAAGAAGTTAATCTGGCAAGGTTGTGATACCTACATGGTATTCTTTACAGCCAACACAGTGTATGATGGTGGAATTGAGAAGATTAGGGTAGTAAGTGAGTTCCCAGAGGTATTTTCAGAAGAAATGACTAGATTACCTCCTAAAAAGGAAAGTTGAGTTCTCAATTGAATTGGTTCCTGAAACCGAACCAATATCAAAGTCTCCTTACAGAATGTTGCCATTTAAATAGGCTGAATTAAAGAAGTAGATTGAATATTTGCTAGAAATAGGATTCATCAGACTAAGTGTATCACCTTAGGGATCACTGGTATTATTTGTGAGAAAGAAGGATGGCAGTTTACGACTGTACATTGATTACCGACAACTAAACAAGGTAATTGTGAAGAACAAGTATCCTCTACCAAGGATAGATGATCTTTTAGATCAATTGGCTAGTACCTCAGTCTTTTCTAAGATTGATTTGAGGTCGGGGTATCATCAGTTGAAAGTTAGTACAGTAGATGTACCTAAGACAACTTTTAGAACTAGGTATAGTCATTATATATTTTTGGTTATACCTTTTGGTTTGACCAATGCACCAGTAGTGTTCATGGACTATATGAATCAAATCTTTAGGTCGTACTTAGATCAGTTTGTAGTAGTCTTTATAGATGATATCCTGATCTATTCTAAGAATAAGGAGCAGCATGCAAGGCATTTGAGGATAGTACTGTAGATTTTAAAAGATAGAAAGTTGTATGCCAAGCTTAATAAGTATGAGTTTTAGTTAAGAGAAGTGAGATTTTTAGGACACGTGGTGTCAGTGGATGAAATTTCAGTGGATCCACATAAGGTTGATGCAGTGTTAGAATAGGAGCGTTCTAGTTCAGTTATAGAGATACATAGTTTTCTAGGATTAGCTAGGTATTATCGACGATTTATCCAAGGATTTTCCCAGATAGCTTTTTCTTTGACTAAACTAATTCAGAAAGTTCAGCTTATATATGGGACGACTGCTATAAAGTGGCATTTCAGAAGTTGAAAAAGAAATTAACCACAGTACTAATGTTGATTATCCCTACTCCAAGGTAACCTTACAAGGTATATATAGATGCGTTTTTGAAAGGTCTTGGTTGTGTCTTAATGCAAGATAGTTGAGTCATAGCTTATGCTTCACGACAATTAAGACCACATGAGGAGAATTATCCTATGTATGATTGAGAGCTTGCAGCAATGGTGTTTACTCTAAAGATTTAGCGCCATTACCTGTATGGTGCAGTGTTTACTGTCTTTAGTGACTATAAGCGTTTGAAATACTTGGTGGATAAAAACAAACTGGATATGAGGCAAAGAAGGTGGATGAAACTTCTTAAGGATTATAACTTTGAATTGAAATACCATCTGGGTAAAGCTAATGCGGTTACTAACGCTTTGAGCCGAAAGACTTTGCATGTGGCAAGTCTTATGGTTAAGGAATATAGATTGATGGAATCATTCGTTGAGTCGCAACAGGATGCGCTATTGAAGGCATTAGTTAGTGCCTTTTCTATTGAGATTAGCAATAAGTTTTGGAAGGAATTGAGAAAGGCACGACTAAAAGATGAAAGTCTTTTAAAGATTAGAGAAGAGATTGAAGTGGATCAAGCTATTGAGTTTGGATTCAATGATGATGGTTTTGTGGTTTACCGGGATAGGATTTGTGTGCCTGATGATGTAGATTTAATGAAAGTTATCTTGAATGAGGCTCACTATAGCCAATACACGATCCATTCGGGAGTTACAAAGATGTACGAGGATGTAAAGTGATATTGGTGATGGCCTGGTATGAAGAAAGATGTAACAGAGTTCGTGACTCGGTGTTTGACTTGTCAAAAGGTTAAGATAGAGCACCAAAGATTAGCAGGAATGTTACAACTATTGGATATTCCTACATGGGAGTGGGAGAGCATTTCTAAGGATTTTATAACTGGGTTGCCAAGAACTCAATCTGGACATGATGCCATTTGGGTTATAGTCGACAAACTTACTAAATTGGCTCATTTCTTAGCTATTCAGATTAGTGATTATTTAGAAAAGTTCGCAGAGATCTATATTTAAGAAGTGGTAAGATTATATGGTATACTAAAGAGTATAATTTTTGATAGAGATCCAAGATTTACTTCTAAGTTTTAGGGAGCTTTACAGCGTGCTATGGGTACAGAGTTGAGATTTAGTACAACATATCATCCACAAACAGATGGACAAACAGAACAAACTATACAGACTTTAGAAGATATATTGAGAGCCTATGTATTGGAGTTGAAAGGTAGCTAGGATAGCCATCTCCCTTTGGCTGAATTTGCTTACATCAATAGTTACCACTCCAGTATACAAATGGCACCATATGAGGCATTATATAGGAGAAAATGAAAATTGCCTCTTTGCTGGACAGAGTTGAGTGAAAGAAGTATGTTGGGACTGGATATTGTGGATCAGACAACTCAAAAGATTGAGTTGGTCAAGCAAAAGCTATTAACAGCATAGACTAGGCAAAAGAGTTATGCAGATAGGCGTAGAAGGCCATTAGAGTTCTTGGTGGGAAACCATGTATTTTTTAGGGTTACACCAGTGACAAGAATTGAAAGATCAATAAGAGCCAAGAAATTGACTCCTAGATTCATTGGTCCTTTTGAGATTCGGGAGAGAATTGGACCAGTTGCCTATAAGATTGCTTTGCCACCACAGTTATGGGTGTGCATGAGGTGTTTCACGTGTCGCAAGTTAAGAAATATCGACCTAATCCTTCACATCTAATAGAACCAGAGGAGATTGAACTCCAGGAGAATTTAACCTATAAGGATGAGCCAAAGCGAATCATAAATATGGAAGAAAAGCAGTTAAGGAACAAGATTATATGATTAGTCAAAGTTTTATGGTGAGGCATGGCTCATAGTGATGCCACCTAGGAGACAGAGGATGGAATAAGGCAACAGTACCCTCACCTATTTCCATAGGTATATATTTAAATCTTTAATGAATTTTGAGGGAAAAATTCTTAAAAAGAGGGGAGAAATGTAACATCTTAAATTTCTTAATCCTAAGTTTAAAGGTAAATCAAGGGTAAAGTGGAAATTAAAGTGAGATTAGAGATTTGGATGATTAATTAGCATTTTGACTTGTTGGTGTGTTGTATGAACAAATATGGGTGATAGGAGTGCATTTCAGGTCGAAGCAAGTGCGCGTAGTGAGAATGAATCTCACTGTGCCACGCACCGTGGCTTGTGCTGCATGCGCCGCAGCACATGGACCAGAAATTCACTTCATAAGTTGTGAATTTTAGAAAATTTCAGAAGAGACAAATCGAGAAACACATAAAATAGAGAGAGGAGAAGGGATGAGGAGCTAGGTCAAGTCATTTTGGAGTGGAGGAAGGTGATTCGGATTGGTAACTTGCCAAGTAAGCTACATATAAGTCTTACCTTCCATTCTACACAAATTTCTCTGAAAATGAGTTATAGAGAAATTGAATCGGTGGAATTTGAGGGGTTTGATTCTTGCATAATAGTAATAAAAAGGTTCTTGGAAGTTAAATTAGAGCTTTGTGACTGGTTTAAAGCTGAACAGTAGAGCTTTGAACTCGGAGGCTCAATTTTGGGTCTTTAGAGAGAGAAAGTTAGGGCAAAATTTGATCTAAGTGAAATAAGACTGGTTAAAGTGATGTAAAGTAGTAATTGGATAGTTATGGACTTAGAATGGATAAATGGAAGACTTTATGGATGAATATAGCCTTAAATAGTAAAAATAAAATTTTGGTGAAAATGGGCCAAATGGCTAAAATGTGCCAAATGTGTTCATATTTGCATATTAGATTCATGAATAGAGAAAGGAAGCTTGAGAAAAGCTTGAGTGATAGTTGAAATCCATAGGTAACCTTTTGATAGGAAATTAGTCGCTTATCCTCAAAATTACCCTAAAGCCAACCCTAATGCAATATAGGGCCAACCCTAGGTCATCTCCCAAGGAATGGTTTTAAGTCTAATTGAAAGTTATCTAGCGAAATAGATCAATCAAAGTTTATAGGAATTTAGTTACCTAGCTAATTACCTAATGTGCAAGTAATTAAAATGCTAGTGAA